GGAAGGGGGGGGAGAGACCACTAAGGGGCAGAGGAGAGCTCTATAGGACAGGGGGCAGGACAGGGAGATCTTTCACACTACGCGCACACACACAATGCATCCCTATACATACACAAACACACAATGCATCCCTACACACACAGAGAAACACACAGTGCACCCATTACACACAAAGACAATGCATCATTTGCACACATACACAGAAACACACAATGCAAACCCTTACACACACATGCAAACACACACACTGCTTCTCTTACATATACACAGAAACACAATGCATTTCTTACACACACTCAATGCACACACTTACAGACACACACCTTGCATCCCTTATGCATACAAACACAGATTCACACAATGCATCCTTTACACACAACCAGAAACACACAATACATCCCTTATACACAAACACACACTGCTTCCACTACAAACAAATACACTGCATCACCTACACAAACTGGTATCCCTATACATAACATACCATAAGCACACACATTAGATCCTCTACAATAACACATAACACATCCCCTACACACTCCACTCCCTGTGAGCGAACTCATGGGTGGAACATGTAGGTTGACTTATAGGTGGGCCTTATGATCATACTCACCGTCAGGCCCTGGGGCCCAGACCTTGAGCTGTTTAAGGGGCCCCCAAAAAATGGAGCTGCTTCCCATTCTACTAGAACTTTGAATTTTGTGACCACAGTTACAGCCTCCAGAGATTCTGTTCCACACCAGACCAGTGGAGCCAAACTGCAGCCCATCATCATCCTCATCTGGTTGTAAGTAGGCAATCTAGTATATTAGTGACACTAATCTATAATTTACCTCACATTAAAGGGACACTATAGTCCCCAGAACCACTTCAGCTTAATGAAGTGGTTCTGGTGTCTATAGTCGGTCCCTGCAGGCTTTTTAATGTAAACACACACTGTGTGCAGCACTGGCGTTAGTTCATATGGCAGATCATATAGGTGGGGCATTGTGATGTCACATGGGGGGGGGGGCGGCAAATTTTTATTTTGCCTAGGGCGGCAAAAATCCTTGCACCGGCTCTGATCCTGGGCAGGTGCACCAGTCTACTGGTGACCCACAGGAGGGGAGTGCACTGATTGCACTGCACTCTCCTCCTGCCCAGACCCATCTTTACCGCAGTGCAAGTGCCCTCTGCCCCTAATTTACAGTGGCTCACACTCACAACAATCAGTGCCTGGAGCCCTTTGCAGAGACGGGAACAAAGAGGTTCTGCGGCAGCTGGCCGTCCTACAAGCATTACATTAACCAGCTGTTCCCCATGCAGCCACAGGTGCCGCTGTGCTGGGAGATTGTGATTACTCTTCACTTCCTCCCAGCCTACAGAGCAGCGCATGGGAGAGAGAGAGGAGGAGGCATGATTTAATCTTACAACAAATCCAGTAAGCAAATCTTTATAAATTTGGGGGGGGTCAGCTCTGTTTCCACAGTTTATTGGTGTTTACTCTGATGTCTGTATTAATATTGAGGGATGTCTAAGTAGTAACATCAGTGTGTGTCAGCAGGGCCAGCGGTTGGGGTGTGCACGCTGTGCGGTCACGCAGGGTGCCATGACAACAGAGGCGCCCGCCGGCCAACACAGCTCACAAGTTGGGGACACCAGCATATTCAATTTAAATGATTTGTTGGTGGTCCACTGGTGCGCACCAGCAGTAGGTGCAGTCAGATTATATCCTCTCCCTCGTGGTTCCGGCGCTCAGTTAGTGAGTCAGAGCACAGGCTCAGAGATTCTCCGCCTGCGCTCTGACAACATTGAAAATCAGAGCCGGGAAGGAGCGGGTATGGCAAAGAGCTACTGATTAGCATAACATCAATATCCGTTATAAAACCAGGAAAAGGTGGGCATGGATGGTGAACTGATTTGGCGGTGCAATGGGCCACTTGACTGGTTTTGCCCCCCAGGCCTAAGGCTGCCAGCCCTCCCCTGGTGACACTGAGACACTAGGAGGCACTTGGAGACCTGAGGACACTGAGACACTAGTGGAAACTGTGAGACAAGGGGTTGTGAGAGACTTGGGAACACTGAGACATTGGGACACTGAACGACATGGGGACACTGAGACACTGGGGAACATGGAGACCCTGTGACACTAGGTACACAGTAGACCCATGTCTCCCAGTGTCCCCTAGTCTCTGTGTCCCCATGTCTCCCAGTGTCCCTGGTGTCTCAGTGTCCCCATGTCTCACAGTGTCCGTGGTCTCCCAGAGTCCCCTAGTCTCCCAGTATCCCCTAGTCTCTCAGTGTTCCCATGTCTCTCCCAGTGTCCCCTAGTGTCTCAGTTTCCCCATGCCTCCCAGTGTCCTAATGTCTCTAAATGTCCCCTAGTGTCCTAATGACACTGGGAGACATGGGGATACAAACATTAGGGGACACTGGGTGACATGGGGACACTGAGAGACATGGGGATACCGTGACACTAGGGGACACTGATATACATGGGCACACTGGCGGACACACGGAGGCAAGGGGACACTGGGCAACTTTGAGAACTGGGAGACATGGGGCACTCCCAGTGTCCTCATGTCTCCCAGCCAGTGTCCCTAGTATCTCAGGGTCCTCATGTCTCCCAGTGTCTCTGATGTCTCTCAGTGTCCGTAGTGTGCCATTGTCCCTAGTGTCTCAGTGTTTCCTAGTCTCCCAGTGTTTTAGTGTCCCAATGTCTTGCAGTGTCCCCATGTCTCCCAATGCCTCAGTGTCCCCTAGTATAAAAGAAAAAATCTCAGGCACTCACTGTGATAGATTTAAACAGGGTTATTGGACACTGCAAGGTTTCGACCTGTGTCCAGGTCTTTATCAAGTCTCCCGTGTCCTCTGTGTATTACAGTGTCCCATATGTATCACAGTGTCTCAGTGTCCCATGTCTCCCAGTGTTCCCTCATGTCTCTAAGTCTCTCAGTGTCCCCAAGTGTCTCAGTGTCCCCAGGTCTCCCAGTGTTCCCTAATATCTCAGTGCACCCATGTCTCAGAGTGTCCCAATATCTCTAAATGTCCCCTAGTGACATGGAGACACGGGGACACAGACACTATGAGACTGGGAGACATGGGGACACAGACATGCCCCTTTTTGGGTATGTTCGCCCCTTTCGACAGTTCTGGTTATGCAATTTGCGTCAGTGGCCCACCCTTTTACCCTGCTCATAGACTTTCTGCTTTACTTGACACGGCAGGGGGTATGGATTTACTTGAAAGATTAAAGTGTGAGATTAGCATAGGGTATGTGTTTTCTCATAACTGCATCCTATGAGTTTCCCTCCAGCACCATCTCCACCAGATACATGATGCTTGGGAGGTAGGACTGTTTTAGTGTTTTTTTTGGTCAATAAGATTTTGTAATTAGGCCCATCATAACTGTCAGCACCAGGTCCACTGGGCTCTTAATCTGGCCCTGCACGCAGGTGCCTCTATGTCTGGGAAATGATCAGATTAAATACTGCTAATTTAATCAATTTCTTGACTCCTAGGCCCCTGACATAAATATCCCTGAAAATAACATTAAAAAAAAAAAATAACCCTTATGACAAAGCAAAGAACACGTGGGTAAACCATTTAGGAGGTAAACCCTTTAGTAGCAATGAGTAACCCAAATAGTAAATAAAACTTCACTTTTAATATATTGGTTAAAATCTTCCTAAGTAATTAATATCCAATCAAATAGGACTAAGAAGATCCTAAAATTATGTCAAAAGAAATTATAAAAATAAATAAATGCAACTGAACTAATTTAGTGATCCTAAAATTAAAAAAAATAATAATAATTAAATAAATAAATAAATATATATATATATATATATATATATATATATATATATCCCTCAAACAAAAGAAAAGGAAAGGGAGAACAAATATGTACAAGTTGGGATAATATGATCGCACCAAACAGACATGTTGCCAAAATGTAACTAAATATTGATGTTACAATTGTATCTTGTTTGTCCAGGGGGAGAATTATATTGTACTGCAGATATACAGGGAACACCTTCTAGGGGCTAGGTAAGAATATTAGAAAGCGATCTCCCAACTAAATTGCATATATAAATAAAAGATAAATGAAATAAAAATTTAAAATAAAAAAGTAATAAATGAAAAAAGAGTTTAGCTGGTAAGGTCAAATAAATCTTAGAGTATGTCGTCCCATATTGGTTAGACCAGCATAAAACTTTATGAATGTCCTGACGCGCGTTTCGCCGTTAAGGCTCTTTCAGGGGAACAGAGTCTAAAGAGGCAGCAGTTTAAAAAGGGTGCCTCTATCCCTCATTGGACCTTCATTCACCAATCAATTTGTGAGAAGGATTGTGGGTAGGGCTCTACTTATTTAGCAGTATTAACCCTTGTTATGTTTTCTCAAGATTGATACCTTGTTTATTATAATTGCATGTTATCATGCTGGATGTGGATCACAGAGATTCGTGTAACTTGATGGCTGTAAAATAACAGCTTTGAATGTATAATGCTTGAATAAGATTAAGAAAAATAAAATATTGCCCTTAGTTGTATGTAATAAATATTAAACTGTTCCATGTATTCAGGTATAACCTTCATGTGATTAAACCCATCGCCAACTTTTGTGAGGGAAAACATACTCTACATTTCTACAAAATCTCTGTTGTGGAAGAAAGGAGCCCTATTATAGTCTCTAGAACATCCTTAGTGTGGTGGGCTGCCTGTTTCCCTGGATAGGTACCTCTTCCAAGCTCGCTTCCTAGCTGTAGCCGGGACACCTGAAGCACTTTAGGCCAGTAACTGCCGCTTGCTTGGGGTCTATCCGGAACTCCCCCACTCTAGAGCAGGGTATCATGCCATAGTTCCTAAGTAATCAAGCTCTCCTGCAGAGTGTATAGCTTACCCAAACTCTAGCTGAGACTTAGTAAAGGGGGAATAAGAACTAGCTTTATTAAGGCAAAACACAAGAATTTATACACAGATTCCCAGTATGGGGACTAACACAAACCCAACCACTCGCCACCTGATAATTGAGTCAGCTCTCGGTTTAACTAATCATCTCTTGGACACAGAAAGTGCAATATAAAAAACACCTCAAAACATACACAATATAGTAGAACTGAGCACCCCCACATGTCATATATTCTCGGAAAGGTCTTTCCATTCTGTCCAAAAAGTGACTGGATTGGATGTGGATAGCCTGATTTGGATGAAATTCAAAGTTTTAGCGGACTGCAGCTATTCTCCATTCCAGAACAGAGTTCCATGGAGTTGGGGTGAAAGTCCCAGTCACCCAAAACAGAGGCATTTCTTTGAATTCTTCCAGTTTGCATCCAGTGTATCTTTGGATGTCTCATCACCTCCTCTATCTCCCCTCCAAAATGCACCCTGCTAGGTGGTTCAAGGACTGAGAGTGCACAGGACAAAGTTTTAGTGGGCCGTAGCTGGAGGTTTGGAGGTAGCTCCCAGTCAGATGTGCCATGCTTCTAAAGCCTCCTTGTGGGTCCACGTTAGGAAGGGTGTAGAAGTGGGGCATGTTCTTTCTAGAGGAGGAGGAGGTTTGGGGAGCTCTGGTCTCGGGTCTCTGGTCCCCTAGTCTTCATGCTTCTCCAGGAGTCCATGGCTTGGGAGCTTATACCACAACTATTGTGTGTTGTGTTTTTGTTGACCATGGGTGTCCACAGTTCAGGCTTCACTTCCTACAATTGGTTTTTCCTCACAAATGTATTCACAATTAGTTAATGCTATAAGGTGCTTCATTCATAAGGGATGTACCACTTGTCCCAGCTAAACTCTTTTTAAAAATGGCCCTCAGCAAGGTGGGTATATTCAGTACTTGCTTATGTAACTTCATTTGAATTACTATGCTTTTCACACTATTCATTTTGGAGCCTATGTGTAGAAAACTACCTTTGTAATGACTCCCCTGAAGCCTTATTCTGCAGCACCAAATTCTTCCTGTGATGGAGCTCCTGTACTACAACAGAGTACCTCCACCCAGTCCACTTCCTCACCATTTACCTGGAACCAATAACGCTTTAGCCCCAGTCCCCTCTGTCTATTCGTCTGCTGCCCCCCTTCCTGGCAGGTATGCAGCTGTGTCTGCAATGTGATAGCTTCTGCATTTATAAAGATGCTTGCACACAGTTCCAGTAGGACCTTACATGCTGTCACATCCTGTTTCTTTCTGCTAAGATGTCTGGCCTTGGCTTCTGGTATCCAGTACTCTTTTTACAACTCTTGTTTAGTTTTTCTTGGTTTTTATGGTTTTCTATTCTATGTCTGGTTTTCTTTATGCTGGATTTTCTGGGTTCATTCCTTTATTCCGTTCCTGGAATTTCCAGTCTCCTGGATTCCTTTAAATGTTTGTTTTTTGTTGCCACACCCGTTCCTTTGCCATTTAAAGTGATTCTCCATTCCCCGGAAAACATATTAGTTTTCCTGTCACTGCAGAACCCTGTAGTGCCCCTCTCCCTCCCACCCCACATCCCAAGTTCCTGAAGGGGTTAAAAGCCCTTCAGTGACTTTCCGGAGTCAAGCGCCGATGTCCCTCGGCGTTGGGTCAGGCTTCGCCTACTCTCCGCACGCGCATTAGACCTCCCCATAGGAAAGCATTATGCAATGCTTTCCTATGGTGCGATCATATTATCCCAACTTGTACATATTTGTTCTCCCTTTCCTTTTTTTGTTTGTTTGAGGGATATATATATATATATATATATATATATTTTTTTTATTATTATTATTATTATTTTTTTTTATTTTAGGATCACTAAATTAGTTCAGTTGCATTTATTTATTTATTTTTATAATTTCTTTTGACATAATTTTAGGATCTTCTTAGTCCTATTTGATTGGATATTAAGATTTTAACCAATATATTAAAAGTGAAGTTTTATTTACTATTTGGGTTACTCATTGCTACTAAAGGGTTTACCTCCTAAATGGTTTACCCACGTGTTCTTTGTTTTGTCATAAGGGTTTTTTTTTTTAATGTTATTTTCAGGGATATTTATGTCAGGGGCCTAGGAGTCAAGAAGTTGATTAAATTAGCAGTATTTAATCTATTTAATCCTATGGTGCAATGCTTTCCTATGGGGATATCGGCGACGCTGAAGGTCCTCACATAGCGTGAGGACGTCCAGAGTCGTATAACACACTTTTCATGTTCTAAGAACACGGAAGTCCCTCTAGTGACTGTCTGATAGACAGCCACTAGAGGAGCTAGAGGAGGACTTAACCCTGCAAGGTAATTATTGCAGTTTATGAAAACTACAATAATTACACTTGCAGGGTTAAGGGTAGTGGGAGTTGGCACCCAGACCACTCCAATGGGCAGATCTAGTCTGTTGTTTCAGTCTGGTCCTGCAAGAAGTGGTCGCCTTACCTCTGCTCCTTTCTTTGCAGGTAAGTACCATGTGTGTTTTATTGTTTATTTAGTCATGCATATCTAGGCAGTTAGTACTTTGGCGCAGTGGTGGGTTGCATACATCTTGGCCATTTTTTATGTCTAGATCTCCAATGTTTTACATATATAGTACTTAGTTTTGCCTCGTATCCCTTGTCTTATTTTGTCTTCCCAGTTCATGTGCAGTCCTGTCCTGTTCATGTTTCCCTCATGTCTTGTGTACATGTTCTGGGTTCTGCTTTCTGTCCTGCTCCGGTTCTGGGTTCTTCTAGTCTTGTCTTGTTTTCTTGTTTGGTGCCTGTTCTAGTCTTGCCTTGTTTCTAGTACTGGATACATTTCTGCTGCAGAGCCTCCCTATCGAGATCCTGGGAGGTCTCCATATTTCCACCTAGCCCTTGGGATCCACAGAAGCTGAATCAGGGCCCTGGTATGTGGCTGCACAAACACTGGTGCTCAACACCTGGGGGCATGTGGTTACCCAGCACCAGGCCCTGATAGTCAATTTCCACACTAAGACTCCCATCATCATCAGGCACTCGGGGGTCCCAGTCTCCAAAAATCCACCCGTGACAGATGACCCTAGGCAACATTTAAAGGAATCCAGGAGACTGGGTTTTCTAGGAACGGAATAAAGGAATGAACCCAGAAAACCCAGCATAAAGAAAACCAGACATAGAATAGAAAACCAGAAAAAACAAGAAACTAAACAAGAATTGTAAAAAGAGTACTGGATACCAGAAGCCAAGGCCAGACATCTCCGCAGAAAGAAACAGGATGTGACACATGCTCAGCTTTTTATTTATTTTTTACTCGGGACTAGCCCATATGCTCATTACATATAGATTAATGTGACAAGTCAATAAAAATACATACAATCAAATCACATTAGACAACAAACAGCAACTTATAATAGCATAATGACATATTTATAAAGGGGTAGGAAAGACAGAAATTAATACAAAACATCTCTCCTGCCTGCAGAATTAGCAATATGCAAATCTACTTGAACACGCAAATTAACAAGCCTTGTGTGGCGGACCTCTCGTTAAGGGACCTGAGTGTCACTGCCAAGACTCTCCATTCCCCTTAGAAGTATCTCATTCAGCACAGTAGTCAGTGATCATAGCTCGAAGGATAGCTGTAGAGATTAGCAATGTTATAGACTTCCCCCCCATATATTAGTTGAGACTTAATGCTGGGAGAAGATCTGATTTTATTGTCACCAACACAGTAGTTTTTTCATCGACCACCAGCATGGGGTCTCTATTCAGCAGTACAATGATCTTACCCTGTGACCTCTGTGTCTGGGAGATAATTTTATTTATTTATTTATAAAATATTTTACCAGGAAAGATACATTGAGATTTCTCTCGTTTTCAAGTATGTCCTGGGTCCACAAATCATTGCATTGTTACATTAGGTACAACAAAATACAAAAACAATATTAATACACAATATATACAAAATTTAACATAGAACAGGCAGGAAATATATAATCAACCATGACACGTGCATTCTGTTTTGAGGTATGTAGAGAGGGATCTCTTAAATGACTTTAGGCTTAGGGAAGATTTTAAATTGTGCGGGAGGTCGTTCCACAATTGCGGTGCTCTGTAGGAGAAGGAGGATCGGGCCGCTTTCTTTTTGTATTGAGGTAGACTAAGTAAAGTGCTTGTACTGGATCGGAGCTTATAGAAAGTGGGAACAGCTGGGGAAAGCATTTTGTTCAGGTAGGGTGGGAGTTTCCCAGAAAAGCTCTTAAAAACAAGGCTGGAAAGATGAAGGGTGCGTCTGGATTCCAGCGATAGCCAGTTTAGTTCCTTTAGCATGTCACAATGATGGGTCCTGTAATTACATTGTAGCACAAATCGGCAGAACGAGTTATACAATGTGTTGAGTTTATTAATGTGGGATTGCGATGCAGACGCATATACTACATCCCCATAATCAATGATTGGCATCAGCATTTGCTGTACAATCTTTTCCTTTACTGTAGGGCTTAGGCAGGCTTTGTTTCTGTACAGGGCACCTAATTTTGGATAAAGTTTAGATGCAAGCTTTTCTATGTGCAGGCCAAAAGATAGATTGGGGTCTAATATCATACCCAAGTATTTGAAAGAGTGGACTGCGGTCAGTGTGCCATTTGAATTTGTTTTGATGGATAGGTGGGGATTGTGTAATTTGTGTAATTTAGGTACTGTTCCAAAGATCATTGTGACAGTTTTGTCAGTGTTCAGGAAGAGTTTGTTTTTTGCGATCCACTTTTCTACCTCTGTAAACTGGTCTTGGAGCAAAGCCTCAAGTTGCGGTAGATTGGATTTGCTCGCATAGATTACCGTGTCATCTGCGTACATATGTACATTTGAGGATTGGCAGACATTAGGCAGATCATTTATAAATAATGTAAATAGTAGGGGGCCGAGAATGGATCCCTGGGGAACACCACACGTGACTGGGAGAGGGAGGGAGTCACTGTCAGAAATGGACACATATTGCGAGCGATCCGATACATACGATCGAAACCAGTTTAAAGAATGATCACCAATACCTGAGTTTTCGAGTTTGTGCAGTAGAATGTCGTGGTCTACTGTGTCAAAGACCTTAGCAAAATCAAGGAAAATAGCTCCAGTTAGGGCTCCTTGTTCCATGCCAGTTTGGATGTCATTGCAAACTTTTAGGAGGGCAGTTGTAGTGTCAATGTTTGCTAAACTTATTATCTACTGGACACAGAGGTTACAACATAAAATATTCTCAAAAACAACTCAACGAAACCCCACAGATTATACATCCTTGGACAGCTCTGATCCGAGCACCCAAGTTG